CGAAAACAGTTAGTAGCCGTACTTCAGGCAGTCCGCGAATACAACACACCCGCGCGCGACTTCATCGAACCCGAAACATAGGCCATATACATCCCGCATTACCGGCCCTTCTATCTAAAGTACAACTACAACTCAAATCCTAACTACGCCGCCGTTTTCTCTGCCACGGCGTGGTAGGGGACCTTTGCCAGCACCCCGAGCTCGCGGACCGTCAGGCGAGGCCCGTGCTCAAGGCCCTCGACTACCATGACGCCCATTTAGTCCAACGTCGCGTTCGACTCAACGGTACGTCGGAGCATAACAAAAATCAATACAACAATTATTTGCTATAAAATACCAACAGACGTCGCGCGTCCCGCTGGTCCGTGACGCCGTGCACGCCTAGGCAGCGCACCCACCAAGAACAACTTTATTATATTACTGGGAACCGGGCCCAGTGTCCCTTACATCGTGTTGCGGTGACCCTTTTTGAAATGACCCTGCCCTCACATCACGTTGGGCCCGGTTGGGGTGACCCTTTTTGAAATGACCCTCGACCCCAAACAGTCCTCTCCCACTGCCGCGTTTTTTTTCTTTTTTCTTCTTCTTCTTTCGTTTTTTTTCAAACTGATCAGAACAGATACTACACTTGATCTTAGCCAAAGGCCGAGAAAGGTATACTGCCACGTTTTGGCCCGGCTCAGACAGACAATTTTCATGTTTTTTCCCACCAAAAACAACTTTATTATATGACTGGGAACCGGGCCCAGTGTCCCTGACATCATGTTGAGGTGGCCCTTTTTGAAATGTGCCTCGCAGAAATCTGAGCACCTCTCCACAATGCCGCCTATAGACCGATCACATACATCTGGGGTGAGGTCCCACTGGCAGAGAGGATTGGGTTTAATGCCTGAATCCGGTCGTGTTTCTGAAGAGGTGCAAAAAACAGCCATTGATCTGCATCTCTGCATAATACATAGCCAGATTCATCCGCTTACTCCCATCCCATCCTCGTTACTAATGGGACCCTGCCCCTGTCTGTGCTACACGCTATCAGATTCGACTCCATCGTTACCGTTCCATGTCCTATGGACTGTACCTACAAAGCTCTACAAAGCTCTCAAGTCCAGCCTCAGACGAGTTTTACCTTTTCTGTTCTGGGCCTAGAGATATGAAAGTCCAGCCTCAGACGAGTTTTACCTTTTCTGTTATGGGCTACCGTAGAGATATGAAGCGGTAACGTCTTTTCCATCTGGCGCCAAAGATTTTTCAAATTGGCGCACTTTTCAATTTTTTCGGTGTTCGCAAACGCGCACGTCCCTCCTAGAGAATGAACGCAGGGCCTCGCCACACCACTGTCAAAACGAAAACAGAAAAGGATGCATCTGCCTGCAGAAAGTGGTAAGATGCGTCCGTTCCTATTCATAGTAACGGATGCATCTTACCCCCCTCTGCTGGAAGACGCATTTGTTCATTTTTCATTTCGAAAGTGGTGTGGTGAGTCCCCAAGTCTACGTGTAGTTCGCGCAGCCAGGCGGGTTAGGAATCTTCCCGGAAACCTCGTGGCCAAGCCCACACATGTTAGTTGCAGCCAATATACGTCATGTTTGTTCGTATAACTACCATCTTAACCCGGCGAAAGAGCGTACAGTCATGATCGCTGTATCTGGGCCGAAAGTTGGGTAAATACATACAGCTATAACGACCGTTTGTTTTATTCCGGGGAAGACGGTAGGACTTGCTGTAGCACTGCGCATCAACCAATGTGTACAACACCGTCATGATGGCTTTGTATGTGGACTGAAAGTTGGGCGAAATACGTACAGCTATAATGGCAGTTCGTTTATTTGGGGGAAGACGATTAGACCAATGTGAACACACGCCGCACATCATGCGAGTCCTACCGTCTTCACCCGGACAGAATGCCCAGTCATTATTCCTGCATTTGGGCCACTTTCCTGTCTAGACGCATATGGATAATGACCGGACCTGAAGACGGTTGTGTCATCATATGTTCAGCTTCTCCCACAGGGCAATCACGATCTTAGCTTCTGCCGTAGGCACTGTATTTGGTGCAACTTTCACTCTAGATACAGCCAACACGGCTTCTGCCACAGTGTCCGCAGGCCTGCCTATTGCAGTAGTGTGCTATCCGTCATGTGCTCTATCTATGTAGCCTCCTCACCCACTACACTGTACCGGAATAAAACATACAAAAAATAAATGCGAGGATCAGGGTCCTCGGTAGGCCTATGGGGCCCTGTCTGCAGCCTTACCCGCCCTAAGTGAAGGCGGGCCTGGCTTTTTGCAAGAGGCCCTCGACTGTCAATTTCATATTTGGGGTCCAGGCAGTTGCGACGCGCCAGTTGGTTGAAAGAAACACAGG